CGAGGGCATCCCCCGGCAAAGTACCTGCGGGAGGACCAGCGGAATGTATCGCTTCTTACCGTTTCGGTGAGGTGAGGGGCTCAGCTGCACACCTAATTAATTACAGACGCAAACGCATCCGGCACTCGGGCACCGCGGACCATCACCGTCCCCCCCCAGCGGGTACCCCGGCATCACGGCCGCAGAGGGGAAATGTGTGTGAGCAGATCCTCGGCCGGTACCGAGGGGGGACGGCGGAGGAGCAGGGCTCCGTGCGGCGGCGGCGGTGGTCTTGGTTTTTATCGGCGTCGCGTTTGTGCGAGCGCTACACGGCTCACCCCGCGCTTCACCATGCATCCGTCTGTAAAGAGCCACCGGTGGCACGATGCCAGTAATTTAATTACAACACGCGGCCTCCTTTGAAAAGTCTGTCTTTGGTCACCCTTGATTAATTAATTAAAAAAAAAAAAAAAAGCCAAAGCCCAAGCCCAACAACAACCCTTAATTAGAAAAAAATCACAACTCACTAGTCTGGAAGGAATCAGTTCCTTTTTTCCGAAAGTTGTACAGAGCTAAGAAACAGAAGGAAAACATCGATGACTATCAGGCTGTTGTTCTCAGTTTACAAAAACTACCGACAGTAGCTTGACAGCGGTGGGTCAAACAATGCTATCACGTCTCATATTTTAAAAATACTGTACAGGTCTTTGAATAGAAAACTTTCAGTGGGCTGGATGGAAATATTTAAATTATTAAGCATGAAGCATCCCTACTGGTTGTAACAAATCTGCCAACAGCAGAAGGAAGCTCTTTGATGGAGCCCAGGAAGACTCACCTGTATGACCACAGTTTAGATCTCCTGCCAGCCCTGTGTAATGGAAAAGCAAGTAAACAGACCACTGTTGAAAATAAAAACAGATTGCAGAACCAAACAGGTCTCTAACACTGAAAAAAGAGGGGGAGAAAGGAAGAGTGTCTGAGAATGCATCCCTTCCTGCATAGCAATGCACAGAACTTCTCTCCAGGTATTTAAAGACAAGACAGAATACATCGCCAGGTCTTACAACAAATCAGTGATACCGTAAATCGGCAGTTCAGAAACTCTCTAAGACTCGATCTTGGAGTTTTAGAAAGCAGGCACTCTTTATTGCAGCGCTGGGTGCACGCTCCACCTATCCTGCACACCGTCAGGCCTAATTGTGCAGGTTAAGTACATGTATTCATTAGTTTTCCGGGGAAACTATTAGCATATGCAAATGTCCTTTCCTAAAGAATGCTCATTAGTCCCTTAAAAAATGCTTGTTAGTGCTCTTATGATCTAAGTTTTCATTAGTGATGTAAATCCATATGGCTAGTTTAAGCTAAATTATCTACAAGGACGAGAACAAAGGCAGGAGTTCTTATCTTTTCCAGCCCTATCTATCAAGCAAGGCCTCTGCTTGTGCCTTCTCAGCAAGATCGTAAATTCATCAAACATTTAATTAAGTTTTGTGATTGCTCATGGCTCCCTCTTGCTCGTTCTCATTTTCTTGATCTTTCAACCTTTACTGTATCATCAGCAGCACATTTTAACAAAGTAAAACATAAGTCATAAAAGTATAAATGGAGGAAAACTACAGCCTTTGAAGCCTGTGCTTAGAAAGCCTAAGTCGAAAAGCTTATGCCACCTGTCTCTTAATTTACATGACATTAAAAACATAAAGGTCATAAAATAACGCATAAAACCAAAATCTCAGAGACACTCTCAGCCCCCATCTCACAGAGGAAAAAATCCCTTAGGTCCCAAATGAACACAAATCGTAAGGTGTGCATATAACCGGACCACTGCTGACACTCTGTGACTGTGCTTATCTTGGGACAACTTCTGGGGCTTCACCAAACATCCCTTACACGTGCTCAGTCCTTATCCATATAAATAATCCTCTTGGCTTTCTTGCCAACATGCGCACGTTTGGAAGATGACTGGGTCAGGACCAAAGCACCTGCATTCAGTACCTCCCTTACACCCCCCTCTTCCCTGCCTCCCAAAGTCCTGAAAATCCAGACAAAACAAAATAGTGCTGGTGCTACCATGCGACCCTGCAGCCATCAGCTGAGGTCAGGGTTCTAAGGAAACAGGTGCGTAAATGACAGTCCCTACCCTACAGGAGGTCAAGACAGGAAGGTCCCTGCAGCTGCATCCAGGGAGAAGTTCAGAACATCAGTTAATGGCAGGAGGTGACTTCCCTTTTAATTGATGGAAAGCCTTCAGAGCATAACAATGGACTTCTTCCATTTCCAAATCAAGGTCACGAGCTTCTCCTTGCTTCGGGGAAGCTCACAAAGCTTTGTGCTTTCTCTTAGCTCTTGCTAGCTTTAGAAGAGTGAAGAGATCAAAGTTGATTTGACCACACACAAGCACAAATACTGTCTCCCTTTCCCCCCAAAATATTCAGCTCCCCTAGAAACAAACACACTAAGGTGAAAACTTAAACATTTTTTTATTTTTTAAAGAAAAATATTCCTCTTCAAACACAAAGCATGAACTAAAAACCTCTGAGGAACAGCTGCTCCTCCCTCGGAGGGCATTTAACTAAACTGTACAGTGTTAGAGCTCCCCAAACAAGTATTACACACATGACATACAGTATTTCTTTCACAGGAAATAAGGTTTAGGACTCAAAATTGTCCTCCTCGCCCTCTCTAGATACCTACTCCACCCAGAAGTACTCTGTGCCTTACTCCCACCACAGGACACAGCGATGATAACTTCTGGATGCAACGTATATTTTTAAAAAAGGAAAAAAAAAAAGTATTGGCCAAATTGGCCATTTCTAGCCTTCTAACAAATGTCTGTGAGAGAGATTAAGACCATAGTTATTTCCAGGAATGGTGCTTGGAAGAAAAAAAATATAGCAGCATCCACAGGCAACACAAGCCGTTGATTCCAGCTGCCCTGTTTTAAGGAACCCAGTCAGTTCAGCAGTGTTTTATGGATGTTCCCATCACCCAAGGAGGAGGAGTGGGAATAAAACATTCACAGGCCACATTGGTTGCTTGAGCAGACAGCCTAAAATTCAGTGAATCTAGCGTACGTATGCCAGCAATGAGGTTTTTTTCCACATTGCCACAGTAACCAATTTAATGCCTAATATTTTATGTAAAAAGATATGACGACCTTCAGAAATCAGCAGCTCGTTCTACCAATTCTCTCTATCCCATCAAATAGATATGTGCATAATATTTGTCACATGTGCATAATATTTGTCACATCTGCCAAACTACCCAGACTGCGGAACTGGAACCAGACTCTAGAATCCAAATTCTTCCTAATTCGGAACAGCAAAATCATTGAAAGTCTCTGTAAGGTCTCAGAACGTGCCTAACAAGCCCATATCCAAAGAAAAAGTACCTGGGTATCTTCAGGGGAAGGCAGGTAATGGAAAAGGTCCGGAAATGGAGCTCATTTATATCCCACCTGATCATTTAATTGTTGGTATTATTAAGTAACGCTCAAATCCTTATCAGACCATTTTGTAAAGAACTTCTCCATTCCATACACTCCAACAGCTTTTACAGTAGGAACAATATTAGAAAAATAAAATCTCACCCCTGAACAACACTGTATGAATATTAACATCATCAGTCACAAAGATTTTTACAGGGGGACCAGATAATCTTTTGTTTCCTCCAAACCAGCTTCATATAGAAAACAGCAGCAAGATAGACACAGTATCTAAGAGCTAGATTAAGGCCAACAATATAAAGACAAACATGGGCTCAGATCTTTTGAAATGAAGAAACCCTCCAAATGTTTTTATACATATGCATGCACACGCACACACATACACACGTATACTCGTGTGTACTATTCAAGCGAAGGCTTCACAACCGTGAAAGCACCACTGGAGAGTGTTCTAGCACCAGAATGAAAAAGTTGGTTGTCTTCCCTCTTCAGCAATAAAATCCAAAGTCTTTATATTGCTTTGGACAAGGTCACCAAATACCCTTCCAAGAACAGTTTCAGCGAGCAGATTCAGAAGTGCAGTGTGACACGTTAAAGTGTTCCTGTTCTGAAATACGGACAAGAAGAGGTGTGTGGAGAGGCTGCAGCTCCTTGGTTGCTGGAAAGGAGGAGAAAATCTGTATTGCAATCTGGTAGAGACAGAGACCAACTTGGACTCCAGGTGAGCGCGATGGTAAAACTCAGCGCAGACTGGGAGGTGAAAGTGGAAAGTTTGCATACGTGAAGTCACAGTGCACATCTGTTGGCATAATAAAGACAAGCAAACCCACAGTATTCTCTGGCAGGCTTGTCTCTGCATAGGAGGCCCCCGGGTATGCTGGAAGTCAGGACAAGGATCCATGAATGGGATGTCACACACTGCACCAGGACACCATCAAACTCAAACAGCAGAGGTCTAAATAGAAGCTTGTAAGTTGGTCTGCTAGCATCTTGCCTATACACATGCTCAAGTGAGCCTGCTGAAGTCTATAAAAGGGACAAAAGTCTCTTAACAGCAAGGTTATGGGTCCAGTTTGGCTACAAGTAACAATTCATGCAAGTTACAAAAGAATTCATCATCAACCTGCAGCACATCTTTCTGCTGCAGGTCTCTATCCCGGACCTAGGCCCTCAGTATAGGAGGTGCTGGCTGTGCAGCCCTTTGCCAACACTCTAAAGATGCTGAGAGAAAGATGCAGAGTCACGAATGACATCTCCACAGTCTCTCAGATCAGGACGTGTGGGCAGGGGTCTGCTCTCTGCCTCTAAGATGCAGAGTAGGCGATGAGCAGGCCTCGCTAAC